AATAAATTAAGGGTTCCCTGTGGTGAGGCTGAAGAGACAATATAGATTTTTAGACAATTTCCCTGCATGTGGCCAACTCTTGTTCAATCCCCAATACTGCATATGTCAGTAAGCCTTGAGCACAGTTACATATGGTTCCAAAAGTAAAAATAAAAACAAATAAATAAATAGAAAGTCCACCTGTTAATGGATTAGAGTCTAGACAATATGAACTCGTGTGCAGCTTAATATGCACACAGATGATAAAAGATCTAAATATTTATAGATAAATGTATACACAGGGGTTAAAAGAAACTTGTTTTTTTTTATCTCTCAATGATGAAAGGTAAAAGTAAAAGTTCTTAAGAAGTAATGAACATACCAAGTGGTCAGCCATATCTATGTTGCTAATCCCATTGTGCAAAAAAAAAGAAAGAAAAAAATGGAAGCAGAAAAACATGGGGAAGAGATTTATTCTAGAACTAGAGTAGAGATATTCAAGATGGACCAGCACTAATTTACAGTGAAAGAAAATTAGAAAGTCAAAAACAAAAACCATAAAAAACAGACAATGGTAGAGGCAGGTAAAAGCTATGATTCAATTGAAAGAACTTCCAGTGTGGTGCAAAATTTACATAAAATTATAAAATTGGGGTTATATAGATAGTACGGGAGTAAGTAACTTGCCTTGACTGTGACCAATCCTGGCTCAATTACCAGAGCCACATATCAGAACCACCCTAAGCTTTGCCAGACGTGATCCCTGAGTATGAGCCAGGAGTGCCCCTTGAGAACCACAGGTGTGGCAAAAACCCAAATTATAAAATCATTAACCACTCCATCATACTAAAATAAATTGATGGCTAGTTAAACCCATAATGGGTGAGAATATGAAATTATCCCATAGAACAGGATTCCACATCAATTCCACACCAGCCTCCCAAAGGACTACAGCATAACTTCCCACCATTTAAGTAGGGGTTGTGCATAGTGACTTCCTTCTAAAATATAAAATATGGAACAGAAACAGGGGAATAGTAATTTTAGAGGAGAAATTTTACAAACATTAACTTACCAGATAATCAAGATCATCACCAATTAACCAGTCATCACCATAAGTCATGTTGATAGTAAGTAGTCTGAATAAAACATATATATAAATATATATACACATTATATAAATGTATATACACATTGTATATACACATATATATCTCAACCTACTATCAACATAACTACATACATGTATACATATAAAATAAAATTAGAAGTAGGAATACCATTTGGTTTTTATACCCCAAGATCACGACTCCATTAAAACTATGATAGAAAAAAATCAGAAAAATTCCACTTGAGGGTCATTCAACAAAATGACTGGCCAGTACATCTGAAAACTGTCAGAGTCATTAAAAACAAGGAACGTCTGAGAAACTGACTGAGTCAATAGAAACATAATGAGGCAGTCTTGTTAGAATAATGTGATAACCTAGAGATGTCCTGAAGAAACAATAGAACTCGGGTCGGCCATGTTGGAGTCAATATTGTGGTTTTGGATGTGAAAAGTGCATCATATTAATATATGGTGAAAGGTCTAAGAGTTCTAGGGGAGCTAGTTTGTGACATATAGAAAATCTCAGAACATCATTGCTTTTTTTTGTAAATTTAAAACTACTTTATTTATTTTATTTTATTTTTATTTTTTTATTAGTGAAACACCACGAGGTACAATTATAGACTTCCATCTGACTGTCACTATCACTGTCCTCCCGTTGTTCAGTGATTTGCTCGAGCGGGCCCAGTAACGTCTCCATTGGAGACTTTGTTGTTACTGTGTTTGGCATATCGAATACATCACGGGTAGCTTGCCAGGCTCTGCCGCGCAGGAGAGACACTCTTGGTAGCTTGCCTGGTTCTCTGAGAGGGGCGGAGGAATCGAACTCGGGTCGGCCATGTTGGCTGCGTGCAAGGCAAACACCCTGCCACTGCGCTATCACTCCAGCCCCAAGACTTATAGACTTACAAACTTTAAAACATAGTTTATTCTTAATTTTTTAGAAAGTTAATACTAAAATATAGAGAGTTCTATTCCTCCACCCCTCTTGGAGAGCATGGCAAGCTACTGAGAGTATCTCGACCACACGGCAAAGCCTGGCAAGCTACCCATGATGTATTCTATGTGCCAAACACAGTAACAAGAAATCTCACAATGGAGATGTTACTGGACCCACTTGAGCAAATCGATGAACAACGGGATGACAGTGACAGTGACAGTGACACACAAAACTATTCCCAAACTATATAAAAATGTTTATAGTTTATAGCAGCTGTATTCATAATTGCAAACCAGACTTCCTTCAAGTGGTGAATTAATAAATAATACCTGGGTATGCACAAACTGAAACTATTCAAACATTCCTCAAGTGTTCTAAGTAGAGGACCTTTAAAGGCCAGGTATGTTAAATAGTAAGAAAAAACCCATCAGTACCTTCAGCTGATTTTTCCAAAGCATAAAGAAAGGTAGGAAATGGTTCTACTGATTCTCACAATCTTTCTCTCCTTCATTAAAATACCACAAGAGATTTTAATTTAATTTAATTTTTTATTAGTGAATCACCATGAGGTACAGTTACAGACTTACTAACTTCTGTGCTTGTGTTTCAGTCATACAGTGATCGAGTACCCATCCCTCCACCAGTGCCCATTCTCCATCATCAATGATCCCAGTATCCCTCCCACCACCACCCTATCCTCCCCCACCCCACTTCTGTGGCAGGGCATTAATTCCCTTTTGTTCTATCTCTCCTTTTGGGTGATATGGTTTACAATAGAGGTACTGAATGGTCATCATGTTCGGTCTATAATCTACTTTCAGCACACATCTCCCACCCCGAGCAGGTCCTCCAAAGACTCATCACTTGGTGTTCCCTTCTCTATCTGAGCTGACTTTCCCCCCAGCATGAGGTCAGCTTCCAAGCCGTGGAGCAAACCACCTGGTACTTATCTCTACTATTCTTCGGTGTTAGTCTCCCAATCTGTTACTTTATATTCCACAGATGAGTGCAATCTTTCTGTCTGTCCCTCTTTTTCTCACTCATTTCACTTAACATGATAATTTCCATGTAGATCCACTTATATGCAAATTTCATGACTTCATCTTCTCTAACAGCTTCATAGTATTTCATTGTGTAGATGTACCAAAGGTTCTTTAACCAGTCATCTTTTCTCCACAGGAGATTTTATGTATGCACACTCACTCCAAGACAATGAGATCCGGGGGCAAAGGAGTGGAGGTTCCCTAGCACCCTAATCTGCTGACCTCTGAATCTAATTCTTCCCAGACTCTGAACTGTGGTTCCAGCTGTGATGCCTAAGCACAGAGCCAGTGGTAATCCTTGAGCACCGCCAGGAGTAGCCCTAAAACTAAAATAAATAAACAAATATGAGCAGTTCTTTATTATAAATATTTACTTGTAGATTCAGCTAAAATTAATTTTTCAAATAATGGCAGCAGAATACTTAATGGGGAGCAGAATACTACAAATGTCAGTTTTGCTTAGATTATTTGCTGTGAGAGTACTTACTTTGCCTGGGTGCCTAAAATAACAGTTAAGCTCTTGCTGATGTCTTCCACTGCCAAAATCAAGTCTAGCAAACTAGAGAAGAGAGGGGGAAAATTATTAGCAAAAAACGTATACAGCCTTTGAGACACTCCCATGAAGAGTACAGACAGGACTGATAAGGTGTTTATAGTTTGGAGGGAGGAGGAACAGAAGAGGAGTTGGATGCGGGAGTGTAGGACACAAAGATTCAGAGGACAATGTGGGAAAAGCACCCTTTGAAACTCACCAAGCCCGCCCATATTCTCTACACATATATGAGAGAGGCCCTACAATCTATATGGCAAGAGTCTTGCAGCAACACAGGAACACAAAGAAAGACGGGACCATTGAAGGCATTTGACTTCGAATGAGTCCCAATGATCACCAGGCACTTTCTTAATGAGAGAAGACTTGCCTTTCGAAATTAATTTAATAGAATATAAAGAAAAGCCTGTATAAAAAATAGCAAGTATCAGTGCATATTCAAGCATGGGGATTTTTAATAAAATAAGAATGCATGTAGTTTCCATATATACAATAGCCACAGTGTGACACATACAAGCATATATGTATATGAACAACCTATGTGTGTGGTACCACTGCACTGTAACACTGTCCTCCCATTGTTCATCGATTTGCTCGAGCGGGCACCAGTAATATCTCCATTGTGAGACTTATTGTTGCTGTTTTTGGCATATCAAATATGTCACTGGTAAGTTGCCAGGATTTGCCATGTGGGCAGAATACTCTCGGTAGCTTGCCAGGCTCTACAAGAGGGGCGGAAGAATCGAACCCGGGTCAGCTGCGTTCATGACTTCATCTCTTCTGACAACTGCATAGTATTCCATTGCGTAGATGTACCAAAGTTTCTTTAACCAGTCCTCTGTTCTAGGGCACTTGGGTTGTTTCCAGATTTTGAGCCAGCCATATTCTTATCCTGCTCTCTGGTGGGCCCTGGGCAGGTATGACAATGTGTGTGTCTTGATGAATTTCCATGTTGTCTGGGTGCTGTGGTCTTGTTCCGAGAATTTTACCTCAGGACAGCATGATGGCCAGAGCAGATAGGTAACTGACCAAACTGAAGAGAGAGATGACTACTTCCAGGTACCCTGGAAGAATAGGGTGGAAAAACATATCCTCACCCCACCCTACCCCAACGCCCCTGTCAGAACCAGAACCCCCAGCTGAAGTTGTTGATCACTGAAGAGCCATCTCACCTCCTTCTTCAGGTTATAGTAGAAATCACCCAGGGGAACAGAGCTTGTGGAGTTGGGAACACCCGAGAGAATAGCCAGTAAGGCTCCCTTTTCTGAGACGCCAAGGGTTCTTGGTATGAACTGAGGCCACTCATACCCCCTCTCTCCCCCAGGCCTGTGGGTCTCATCAGCCACCTCCTGAGCACATGCTTCCTGCCGTGTCATCATGTCTTTCCATAAGAAGTACTTGGCCTGCAAGCTGGAGAAAAAACGTCAGAGCCTCAGTGAGGCCCAGAGCCTAGAGGATGAGCAGTTTTACCGGGCTGACCAGGAGATGCCCACATCTGCCTGTGCCTCCTCCTCTCCCAGGGCATTCGGCTCCTTCAATGTCTCCACTCCAGCATCCCCCTCTATCCTGTATCCAGGCACCCTGGAAGAAGACGTTGCTGCTGGGATACCTTATGATCCCCAGAAACCTTCAAGGGCTTTACTCTCCTCCAGAACCATGGCTGACAGTCCACAGAGCCAACTGGAGGAGAGTGATAGCAGTGAAGAAGAGGGGCCAAGAAGTCACCAGGAGTTAGGGAAAAAGAAGTATTCCCTCATAGAAGAAGCATTGTTTGGGAAAATGGCAGACCTGGTGGGGTTCCTGCTCTTCAAGTACCGCAGTAAGGAACCAACCAGTGAGGCAGAAATTCAGAGTCAAGTGCTCACAAGTTACAAGGACTACTTCCCTATTATCTTCAGCCAGGCCTCTGAGTGCCTGCAGCTGATCTTCGGCATTGAGGTGCAGGAGGCTGACCCCCAAGGTCACTCTTATGTCCTGGTCACCAACTTGGACTTCATCTCTGATGCCATGGGGAATCCTGAGCAGGACATGCCCAAGACCGGTCTGCTGATGATGGTTCTGGCTATCATCCTCCTGGAGGGTGATTGTTCCTCTGAGGAAAATGTCTGGGAATCCCTTACCTTATTGGGGGTACAACCTGGGAAGGAGCATTTCATCTATGGTGAGCCCAGGGAGCTCCTCACCAAGGTGTGGGTTCAGGAGCAGTACCTGGAGTACCGCCAGGTGCCTGGCAGCCACCCTGTCCGCTACATGTTCCTGTGGGGCCCCAGGGCCCATGCTCAAACCAGCAAGAGTAAAATCTTGGAGCTTTGGGTCAAGCTCACTAGCATGGATCCCCGATGCTTCCTTGCTCTGTGGGACATGAACGAGGAGACGACCTAGCCAGGATTTCAGGAGGTGTAGAGAGCAGGCAAGGTCCTAAGTGGTGGAGGGCTGGTGAGCTGCACACACAAAGGAGAGTGAGCATGTTATGTTCATATTCTCTGTGAGGGTTGAGAAATTCATTTTGGTTTCCTTTACATGTTTGCCAAATGTTGTTCCTTTAAATGGAAAATTGAATTGCCTTTAGCTTTTGAGTCTGTATATGTCATTGACTGCATATGTATTTGCTCTTACCCAGTTCATAAGAAGGGTTTTGATATTCTCTTAAACACATAGGGAAATATCTACCTTAGCTGTGACCCAGAAATAGATATGACATTGGAATGGAAATTGTCTTGGAAATGTGAGATATATAGCAAGAAAATGGAAAGGGTCAGATATAAGGTAATAAAAATTTTTTAAAAACTACATCTTCATGTCTTCTTTCTTTTGTTAAGTCCACATTTACATGACTAAACAGCTATTAAAAAGACAATAAGAGTAATTTGGTCTCCATGAAGGAACTCCCTGCTCACTGAGCATCTTTACTTCAAAAGACCCTGAATTGTGAGAGTGGAACAAAAGAATGAACAGCAGGCACCCACCCCACAGAGCAATAGCTTGGGTACTGCTCATTGAAGGAGTGAAAGCCCGACCCCAGGCATTGCTGCTCCCTTCCTCCCAGCCTGTTCCCCCCTCCTCCTCACACTACTTATGCCTTCACAGGACTCCAGAGTCACAGGGGCCCAAGCCACGGAGTCAGAGCAGGAAGGAGGAAGGCCGGCTGCCAGCAGGAGCACACATCGTGTGGGCTCTATGGTGGTTGAACGCTGACAGCCCCACTCAGCCACAGAAACACATTCCCTATCTCCTTCTTTGTCCCCCTGTGTGGCTCCCGAACCCGGTTGGCTGAGCAGGTCATTGTGCTCTGAAGGCTGCATGGAATCTCCTGAACTTGCCCTGACATGTTGTGTGCCTTCCTTGCAGAAATCCTTACCCTAAAGCCCTCTCAGTCACAAAGCTACATGTCCCTGCGAGGTTAGTTGCCTGGTCAGTATTCCCTGAGAGTCTTTGACATGCTGCTTCCCAAATGTGCTATGAGTGAGTGTGGTGCCAACAGCAGGTCAACCTGTACCTGTGGGGCGAGTGCATCGCAGCCTGATAGTGCCTTCAGACTTCCCGATACCCCAAAATTGCTGCTGTGCCTCTGTCCAGACTCTAATGTCTTGGGACCAAGTTTCCAGATAAATTAAATGACTAAAATTTAGGTATGTGGAGCCACACGCACAGCTCCGGCTTGCTATACAAGTTCATTTATCTGCCTAGCTTCACAGACCCATAAATAAGTGTTGAAATAAATCAAAATCCACAGTTATTCTTGGCACCTGATAAAAGTGAAAAGACAGGGTAAAATGGAGGGGACTAGATCAGCCTGTACTCACCCAAGCAGAGTCTCTGGCAATCATTTGTTCCCACAATCCAAAATACCCCTGGCTGGACTGAACCATCTTGGGAAAGACCTCATCAAGATATTAACCTGTTGAAAATTCAGATATTTGGGTTTTATGACTGAAATCTCCAGGCTTTCTGGGGATCGGGATGGGCTACCCCTCCCCACCTCTCTGACTTCTGAAAGCCTCAGCAGTTGTGTCCACACCCCAAAGCTGCCACCCAGTTCAAAAAGCTACTCCACCATTACCTTCCTGATAAAAATACTGCACACCCTGAACAAACATGATTACCTCTTAGTACCTGTATTGCAAACCATAATGCACAAAAGGAAAAAGAGAAAGGAGAAAAGTGCCTGCCATAGAGGCAGGTTTGGGGGGGGGGTATTGGAGAATGGTGGGAGGGAAACGGGGGATATTAGTGGTGGAAAATATGCACTGGTGGAAGGGTAGCTGTTGGGTCATTGTATGACTGAACCCCAATCATGAACAACTTTGTAATAATCTACTTCACAGATATTCATATCTTTTGAAAGTGCTATGAGCAGTTTGCTCTATAATTGATGGGGTCCTGAAGTGTAATCCTGAAATCGCACCCAACAGATTGCAGGAGGACTTTATTTATTTATTTATTTATTTATTTATTGAATCACCGTGGGAAAGGTTACAAAGCTTTCAGGTTTAGGTCTCAGTCATGCAAATATCAAACACATTTCCCTTTACCAATACTTATTTTTTACCATGAAGAACCCCAATAAAACCCCACCCCCCACCCCTCCCAGTCCCTGTGGGGCAGATGAATTCTAGTTAACACTCTATCTGCTTTGATTAGATTCATTGTTTCAATAAAAGATTCACCACTATTATTTAGAGTTTACCCACCCCCCCAAATCAGACATGCTGAAAAAGCATTGTGAAGTGATTTGCTTTCTACAGCTGGGTTCAAGAATTAAATGTTGGTTTTGGATTTCTGCTATTTTACTTATTGACCCTGGAAGTATTTCTACTGAAAGTCAGATAGTTAAGAAATTGGTTTCTGTGCTCTGGAGTCGTGGCCGTGCTGGAGAGCCGCTAGTGGGGGCAACTGGTGGCCTCGGTAGGGCATGAAGGGCGGACCGAAACACCCCCCTTCCCATGAGGTTTTAGTCGCCCCCACTCCCCCGGCTCATACCTGCTGTCCACAAGGCTCCCATGCGGCCGCCATCTTTCTTTCCAGAGAGGAGAAGGCGACTGGGGCAACACCCTTTCCCCTCCGGACAGACCTGATGGCCTGGATTAACGCATAGTCCGTTCACTTTTCTGCTCCAAGCTTCCGGGTTCTGCATTAAGTCCTTGTGCTTCTGGGGCCGTGGCCGTGCTGGAGAGCCGCTTGAGGGGGGCAACTGGTGACCTCGGTAGGGCGTGAAGGACGGACCGGAACGCCCCCCTTCCCCTGAGGTTTTAGTCGCCCCCACACCCCCGGCTCATACCTGCTGTCCACAAGGCTCCCATGTGGCCGCCATCTTTCTTTACAGAGGGAGTAGGGCGGAAGGGACCAACACCCTTTCCCCTCCGGGCAGACATGATGGCCTGGATTAACGCATAGTCCTTTCACTTTTCTGCTCCAAGCTGCTGGGTTTGCAGGAGGACTTTAACTGGGTCGTTTTCTGAACACAGAAAAGAGTTGATATGAGCTGTTGGGGAGTTGAGAGACAAAAATTCTCTGTATCAGTGGAAGACCAGAACCAAACATTCATTGCAGCGCAATTCCTTCAAACCCCATTAAAGTTGGGGTCCTCGGGACAGCATAGGTCATATTTCCGAGGAGGAATTGAACAATCCCCTCCCTCCCTACCTGCTGTGGGGTGTGTACCTGGCTGGAGGTGAGCCTGGTGGTAGAAGAACTGACACTCCCGCAGCACAGGAAGGGAAGCAGAGATCCAGGGAGGGAGGCAGAGACATACTGATCAGTACTGTGCGCAGGAATCAGAAGGAAGGTAGGACTCTCCATCTCCTGATATAACAGGTATGTGGTAGAGGGAAGAACTGGAAGGTGCACGGTGCCACAAAATCAAACCTACTCTGCTGAGAGTGACCAACTCATCTGATAGTCATCTGTGACCATGGATTTGAAAGTACCTGTCATACCTGGTAGGCACTGCAATGTTAACAAAAATTAAGGCAAAGGGAACCTTGTCAGACACCCTTCCAGACCTTGAAGAGAATTGTTGTCCTAACAAAGTGTTGTGGCCTCTAACTGAGCACCAACTTGTTGGACACATGACAGCCCAATGTCCAGTCTCCTTGCCCTGGACTTTGCAGCATGCTTGTAGTCAGTAGGGTCACATGCTCTTGTCAGTGAGGCATGAGCAAAAGATCACATGGTTATTAGAGAGCCAATGTGACTGACCTTTGCTCCTATCTTGGGTCACAGCAAACATGGACCCGGGTGGAGATGGAGCGTTCACAGATGGGAACATCCTGCCCCACTAGAAAGGCAGACCCTACCGAGCGGCATCAGAAAAAATGTGCGCCAACATACTTTGTTCTCTGAACCTTGAAATGTCAGGGTTTGTTTACTGCATTAAATAGCAGCCACTTTGACTGATGCAGGTACTATTCCTCTCATTAGGTTTATAGAAATAATTATGAATTATAGTTTACTATGTGACATATACATATATTACACATATACTTATATTTTCTGCAATAAATTTAAATACTAGATTCTTGAAACCTCTCCCATCATGAAGTTCCTCCCATATCTATCTCCCTTTCAGTGGTCACCATAAGCAACAAACAAGTTTCTATTCTTTGCAGGGTGATTCTAGGATTTTTCCCACACAGAGGTTGTATGAAATGTTTTTATTGTACAGTGTGACCTGTCACAAGACTTGGTCTCTTAATAAGATGAATGTGAGATCTTCCCATTATAGCATCTAAAGATCTACACACTTCTGCAGAAAAAAAAACAAACAAAAAAACAAAAAACAACAACAAAAAAATCCTCTTACAGAATGCACAGAGCCGATGTATGTCTCAGTGGTCGATACCTGCTTACAGGCATGAGGCCTCAACTTTGATTTTGGTTCCATCCTACATGCAAATCCCATTTCAGCATCACAACACAAATGTGTATCCAGCACACTGCCACCAACTGTGTGCAAGCAGTGCAACTCAGCTGTATGAATTCTGTGAGCACTATAATTGTGCAGCCTCCTTAAGACCACTGAAAGCAAATGTGAAACAACCACAACTGGAAGTGTGCGAGCACCAGAATCAAGGGTGGTGACTACTGAACAATGAAACAACAAAGGGGAAAGGAAAAACAAATGACAATGTACAAAGAATTGCAGTAGTCATTTACTCAAAGAAGGTCTACACATAGCCAATGAACCCCCTGAAAGGGGATTGTTTGCTATGGAAATGCAAGTCCAGACTATATTGGGATTTCACCCATAATCACCTGTATCACTCATATGGTACATATTCTCAAAGAAAAGCAGAATCTGGGAGACAGTACATGGGCTAAAGTACATGCATGCAACTCCACTATGATCCTTGGCACTGCATGCTACCTGGGTCCCACTGAGTGTTGCCCTGGAGGCTCCCAAGACAGAGAAGGTGATCTCCAGTACTGCATCCCTGGGCCCTAGCATTCATTTTCCCAGACTGGTTGATAAACAATCACTGGGAATGACTTTCAACACCACTGATCCCCCCCCCTTTGGAAACCCACTTCCAACAAAACCACAAAATATCATGTTGCTGAGGATGGGAGAAATAAGAACTCATGGACCTGTAGTGGGAATGTAAATAATAAACCTGCTGGGGAAATCATCATGGCAGTTCCTTAGCATATGAAAAACAGAATTACCACATTATCCAGCAATCCCATTTCTGAGCAGATATCAAAAAAATAAAAACTGGTTCAAAGGATTTTTACTCCCATGATCATAGCATTATCCATATAAGTCCAGACATGAAAGCAATCTCAAAATCTACCAACAAATAAAATGTAGTTCCAACCTAGAAGGTCCTGGTATTTCATTTGCAAAGGAAGCATTCTAACATAAGCCTCATCATAGTTGAAGCTTGAAGATATTATTCCAAGTGAAACAAGCCTGTTACAAAAAAGACAAATGTTCCATGTTTCCATTTGCATGAGATGTTCAGAAGTAGTCAAACTCACAGAGACAAATGTAGACTGCTTAGAGACAGGGAGGGGTAGGAGAAGTGTAGGATAACACTGGTTTGTCCTTTCTCCCTTGCCACAGGGAGCTTAGGTTTATCGGGTTACACCCATCACAGTGCTCCCGACTCACTCCCATTCCTCTGTGTTTATCTGTAAACTCTTCTCTGTGCTCTCCCCCCCAACCAGTTAATCACCTTTTCCCCTAATCATATTCTGTTTACTTGTAAGATCAGATCCTTCTAAGGACACTGAACTTGTAAGTTATGTCTTTTATGTAGTTTAGCTTAAAGCAATGTCCTTTCTGTATGGACACAGGAAGACAGTTAATATTATGCATTTGTAACTTGGGAGTTGATTGACTACAAATAATATTTACTCCTAGGCATCTGCTTTCCTGACTCAGTTGCCCTTACTTCCTAACACCCTAAAAGCAGGGTCTGTGTGTGTGTATACACACACACACACACACACACACACACACGTATGATAGCATAGTGGGCAGGGCGGTATATCTATCTATCTATCTATATATATATATATATATATATATATATTAGCATAGTGAGCAGGGCGTTTGCCTCGCATGTGGCCGCCCAGCCTACCCGGGTTCAATTCCTCTGCCCTTCTCAGAGAGCCCGGCAAGTTACCGAGAGTATCTCACTCACACGGCAAAGCTTGGCAAACTACCCATGATGTATTCGATATTCTAAACACAGTAACAACAAGTGACACAATGGAGATGTTACTGGGCCCACTAGAGCAAATTGATGAACAAATAAATATATATATATATACATATATATATATATATATATAGTGGAAGATATAGTGAGATGTCCTCGGGAAGAACCAAACCTTAAGTTTATATCTCTTACTGTGCTCATATAGAATGACATTGCTAGAATATTAGAAATAGATTTACTACAACTGAGTAAGTGGATTACTAGTTGAGGAAGGAAGAAAGTGACACACCCTGAATGGGATCCTGCCCTTGAGCGGATCTCCTAATAATTTGGAGTAATCTCCTTAGATGAGATTTTATCCTTGAGTTAATCTCCTGGAGGAGTGGTCTTACCATTCTTTCTTGATTTGTTAATGATCAACCCACCTTTGTATCACCATCCTATGTGATTGCTATCTAATCTGAGACTGTAAGAGAGGAGGAGCAGAGTCATATCCAGAGGCCAGAAGGAGAATGAGGGGGAAACAAGGAGGACGAAGGGGGTTGGAGAGAGAGAAGCAGAAGGGGAGATTGGAATAAAGTACAATTGATACTGACCAGCCTGGCCCTCATTCCTTCCTTCACCTACCTATCGCCGTCGGCCTCACCGGGGTCAAGGAAGCGGCTCGAGACCACCAAACGCAAGCAACAAGAGAGATAGAGTGCTGCTGGCCTTTGGAGAACACACAGAGAAGGAGAATGAAAGATTAGTATTTAATGGGAATATGGTTTCAATTTTGTATGAAGAGAATTATGGAGAAAGATGGGAGTGACAACTACACAGTGGTAAGAAATTTACTTAATACCACAGAACTGAACATTACAAGCAGCAAGGGCGGTGACATTTTTGTTTAGTGAATTTCACCTCAATTAAACCTGTAAGTTTATTTTTTTTGTTTTCTGGGCCACATCTGGTAGTGCTCACTTCTAGCTATGTGCTGAGGAATCACTCACCCCTGGTGGGATTCAGGGTGTCAAATACAATGCCAAGAACCAAACCTGCATCTGCCGTATACAAAGGAAGTGCTCTGCACTCCGTACTATCACTCCAGCTCCTTATATTTTATTAAAATAGTCTCTGGAATGTATGACTATCTTTGACAGGCTCATCAGTGACCTGGAAACAGCCACAGAGAAAATGAGTGAGCTTGAAGAAATGCAAACAGAAAACTCCAAAAGGAAATGCAGAGACAACAGAGTGAAAAACTATGGCAGAAAGTATTCAGGAACTGTGGGACAAGAGATGTAATGTGGGCTGGAAAGATGGCAAGGGGGAAAGGGGCTTATTCTGTATGCAGTTAATTCTGGGTTGAAACCCCAGCACCACATATGGTACCCTGAGCATCGATATAAGTGTTCATTAAAAACATCAAGAGTAAGCCTGAAGCACTTCGGTGTGGGTATCACTCACCCACTGCCCTGGCCCCCAAAATAAAAGTTTAATGTGTAAGTGGGCCACAGAGAAAAAAATAGAGAAAGAAACAGAAGAACTATTTAAAATGCTACTGAAAGGGCTTAGAATTTTCCAAAACGTCTCGTAGACCTGGTACTCAGGCTCAGGGAGCTCAGCAAGGACAAAGTTAGATTAATTATCAAATAAAGCAACAAAATTTATATCTAGGGATGTCATGTTCAAGCTACAGAAAATCAAAGTGAAAGAATAGTTCTTGGCAGAAGCAGGGGGGAAGAAAACTAAAGAATGCCCTTTTTTACTGCTTCTGCAACTTGGGCATCAGTCAGACTCGCTGAGGGCACTGGGGGTCAGTGAAGACCCTCATCTAGCTAGATGACAACACGGGGGGGCTCCTGGAGTTAGGAAAACAGGGAAGGAGTCAGGGATAAACAGTTTGGAGCATCCCATGAGGAGGTGGGACCTTTCCATGGTACCACTGCCTCCCATGAGTTGCTGTCAAGAACACAGATATCCTAAGAGTAAGCAAAGAAGAGAGGCCAGCAACATAAGGGCTAGAGAATACACATCACAAAAACCACAGGCAAACCCTTTTATCTATGGTGACGAAGACTCTTACTTAGGCATGGTCTTTCTCTGCACCCACCCCACACTCTCATCTATGCCAGTCTTCATGCTGCTTTGCCAGGGAGCCCAGCTAATCAAGGACAAAATGCCTTGGAACTTCTGGAAAACAGCCCTTTGAAACACAAAGTCATTTGATGAAACTGCTGTGAATCTAAATGACAGGATACAGAGTGGAGGGGGTGGGTTTGGAGAAAGGCAAGGGGGGCTCAAGGGGGTTAGGTCAGTGACATGCTCTGTTTCAGTACAAGACAATTATACTGAACCCCCAAACCATCATTAAAAGGGGCAGTATCAAAGGAGATCACACTTAGAAGCAGGAAGCCTCAAGTCTGGAAAAGCAGAACCCAACCCACCCTCAGGAGCAAAAGATATCTGCCTCAAAAGAAGACACGAGAGAGACTGAGCCCCTGGGTCTGGGGATGTGACTGGAAAAGGCAAACAGATGCTGTCACAGTGAGAACATCCTGGGCACAGACAAGTTCAGGAGAATGCACAGAAACTGTAGGCACTACCCTTGTGAGCAGAGAGGGAGGAGACACGGGGGAGCAGAGTACCAGAGGAGAATTCACAGCACAGAGGAGGATGTCATGTCCTTTGGGGCATACCCCTACCGAGCCGAGCACAATCCTGCTCTGGGGACAACCTGAGAAGGAGCAAGAAAGCAGGACTCTGTATAGGCCCATCAGAGCAGAGCCGAGCAAGCAGCAGGAGCGGTTTGGAGAGACCAGGGCAGGAGGGGAGGGGGCGACCAAGAGAAGAGCCACTGAGGCTAATTAGGCCAAGCTAACTGCCAGGGGCTGCCGTCTTCCTGCTGGTGTTGTCACCCAGAGATGCATCAGATGCAGGCAGTCCTGGTGGTACCTGAGCTAGGAGCAAGCAGAGAAAAGAGGCTAGCAACAGAGCCCCCCACCCTGGGCTCTCCCATCTGCAGACATGGGAATGGAGGTAGGATTGTGGTTTCTCAACCCATCCAGTATCTGGCCCCAGAAAACAATGCATGTGTCAACTGGTAAAATAACCTCTGGAAACTCAAACCTCAGTTTTAAATGCTTGCTGCAAAGAAAAGAAGCTAGAGCCCCTCCCCCACCCCCACCCCCCACATGCACTTGGCCAGGGCTCCCTCTCCAGGCTGACAGTGAGCCCCTTTATGACATCATGTATAACAAATAAAGGGGCAGATGATTTCAGCCATTGGCTAAGGCATCCTGGTTCAGGCTACTGGCATTTTGGGCTAGACACTACAGTGAGTAGTTCATGAGTATAAAATGTTTCTGATCTAGGTTAGACCAATGGAGAATCAGGATAATGATAATACATACCAAGATGAGCTAGACTCATCCTGTGTTGAAGACACAGAAACAGCCAGTGAGGTAAGTTCATCCCAAGATCGAAATGAAGAACCAGAGATCTGGGATGTGGAAGAGATTCCAGTTGTGAGTACAAGATGCTTTGAAGATGACCAGCGAATACCAGGGGATATTTTGGGGATGTCTGGTGATCAAGTTTTGAGACAAGCTGCAGTCTCTGACAACCAGCTGAGACCACCACAGAACATCGTCAACCTTGGGGGAAATATCCTTGAACTCCCTTTTCCAGTAAAACTCTGGATGATCGTGGAAGATGACACCATCCAGTCTGTGAGCTGGAGTAATAATGGAGATAGCATCATCATTGAGGAAGAGCTATTTCAGGGAGAAGTTCTTCAACGAACAGACGCTGACAGAATATTTGAAACAGACAGCTTAAAAACCTTCATCCGGCTACTTCACCTACATGGATTCAACAAAATAGGCTTGAGTTCTTCATGTGACATTCCAGGAAAGAAAAGAGTTAAGGTAAAGTAGAAAGTCCCTCCCTTACCCCTGTTCCCTGTTCCTGAAATCGTCCTGTTGGCCACAGATGAATAACAGTGTGTAAGGGTTTAGTTTCTGGGATAATTTTTTCACATGACATATTCCCATAAGATGCAGGTGCAAGCCCTGATAGTGTAGCTGTTCCCCTGCACTACAACCCCCTTAGGGAATAATATGCAGGTAGTGGAAAGCACTGTAGGCCTATTGATTCTGAACAGATGCAAGCACACCTTAACCTAAGCCTCTACCTTTAGTGAGTCCATGCTCTAGGGAATCATGAAACTTACCAGATCTTATCCTTGCTGAAAGTCAGGCGGAACTTTAGGACTTGGAGGTGGGAAGGAATGGACATTTACTCCCAGTCTGACTACCGTGGTTTTGATCCAGGTCTACTGCAATCCTAACTTCCTGAAAGATCAGCCTCATCTCATTGATAACATCCAAAGAAAAAGCAAACGAAGAGCAACTCCTTTCCCAGACAGCACAATGGCAGCTCTACAGGGAAAGATGATGGTATCTTTAGGACATCTTCCTCAAGTCCATACCAGTAAGTCTACCCAAGAAGTTGATCCAGATGTAGAGATGAAAGTTACTACTCAAGGCCCTGACAATGCTCAATCTTCAATGTCAATGAGCAATATATATCAATCTCTTGTGGAAACCTACAATATTAGTGAGAGATGTGGACAAAGAGAGGAGAGCATGCCCAGAAATAGCATCTTTGAGTCTGCAACTAATGAGAAAGTGCAGGACCTAGAAATATCCAGTAGTCTCCCCATGTCTTCTACTGGTAATTCTATGATGGCTCTGTGCAACAACTCGGCAAATGAGAATAGTGATGATGAGGATGAGCCAGAGGAGGGCCCCTCAGATTACTATTGTGAACTGTGAGCAGTTCAATGAATACCTAGAACCCCAAGACTGAGCCATCACTAACGAACCAACACAAATTGCTTGTTTGTACCTCTGAATGTTCTTTCAGTCTGAAAGAGAGAGACAAAACAACAGTCTGGGGAAGGAACAAATAAATAATTCAAAAATCCTAAATCTATCTTCTAACTTTCTACCTTCTTTTGAGGGGGTGGGGCATACCAGGCAGTGCTCAGGGCTCTTAAATTGCTCCCCTGTAAACCACTGGAGGAAGCAGGAAGTGCCTGAGCCTAAATGAACTTTTGTCCTGGGTCCTTTCACTAGAAGTAGCTGCATTTTCCCACTCAGCCAGAAATTTGGCAGGAGCACAGAGGCCCACTTCAAGCCTGGGGCATCCCCCAGCTACCTCAGTGTCATCCTGCCTGGAACCTGGGTGAGATCACAGCCTAAAGGGCACAGGAAGGGGGTGAGGGTCTAAACAGGTGTCCCTGGCGGGCACTCGCGTTCCAGGGTGGGGTGCACGCTCAGGATGGCGGCTGTGGGAGGATGGAAAGTGTGGCCGATGCCACCCTGTGGGCTCCCAGCCTCCGTAGCTCATGCATGCAGCTCAGAGGCACCGTCCAGAGAAGCCCCGCAGGTGCCAGCGGCAGGAAGGGCCTAATCCCTCTTGGCAGGAATGGGATTCCACAGAGACTGAGAAATGCAGGTACACTGAGCCACTTCTGTTGAGGTGTGGGATCCTGGGAGGCCCCAAGAGCCCCCAGACCATTTTTCCCACATGGAGAAATGTCTACACAGAAGCCAAGACAGTACAGAAGTGCTTGGTGGCTGGCTTCTTGGCGAGGTCATTGCAGCTCCAGAGCAAAGACAGACTGAGGACTTAGTGAGTCTGAGAAACTTCCGCATCCCGGGGGATCCAACTGCCCTTTCACAGCGTCACACACATGTCTGTGCTCATGAAGTATGCCCCTGCATAGCAGCCCAGCATCAGCTCTGCATGCAGTAGGCATTGGGGCCCCGTCATTTGGAAATTAGAAGGCATTACCCTGAGGCCCTGGATGACCCTCAGCCTGGGTAATACTTGGGGCTTGGGACCAGCAGGGAATGGGAAGTAGGAAAAGGGAAAGGGCTGAGTGGTGGGCAGGATGATAGAAAAGTTGAGGAGGGGTGTGAGGACTGACAGGGAGGGCTGGGGGGGGGGGGGGGGATGAGGCTCTCAGGGAGTGCCTGGGGCGAGACTGAAACATTCCTAAGGAAGGAACTGTGGTCCCATTGAGTGTTTGTGGCAAAGGGCTAAGAAGGAGGAAGTGGAGAGGAGGGGAGTCAGGCCTTAGGAAGTCAGGGAGGAAGAGGGGTGTGGCTGGGAGGAGAATGGGAGGAACAGAACTCCCCGGGGAGGAAAAGGGTGAGGCTCAGGAGCAGAACACGAACAGGGATTGAGATTGATTGGCTGAGGAGGTAGAGGCTAGAAGGATGGGAAGAACAGGGATATGATTCACCGGGCTGGGTTGAGAGAGACGATCTTGGGGCCCTGGGAACTTGTGTGGCTGGCGGTCAAGGCCTACTCTGCGTCCTTCAGATTCTATGACCAAGGCCCCCAGTCCCAGCTGCACGCTTGGCTGTACTTCAGCACAAAACATCTGGTCCTCGTCCTCAGAAAGGACTCCTGGGGTCACTATGGCTGGGGGCACTGGGTTCTCATCCTACACCCCAAAGCACCCCGTGACTGCCGGTGGGGCCCTGGGCCTTTCTGGGAACACCACCTTTTGCGGTTGAGAAGAAACATGTTCTGTGTGGGGGTGCAGGTGTCCCCGACTTTGCTGCTGGAGTGGTCCTGACACGGGTGCGGAGGTCAGCGTGTCTCTGCAGGCTGGCTCGGAGCTGGTCTGGGATCTGGGGCGCCTCTGGTTTTCACTCTGTGCTTCCTCTACTCACTCTGCTGCGTGTCACCTCTGTCCTGTCATTTCCAGATGGCGGCCTGGCCTGCCCTGAAGCTGCTCCCCGCTAGGAGGGTCCAGGCAGCATCGGAGGGGGTGGGACTCCTGGCAACTGGGCTGGGGCCCCGGGTGTCCATTTCCTATGTCCTCAGTGGGCAGCTGGCGGGGTGATCCATGTCCCACCTCTTTATTATTGGGATTATTGCACAACCAGCTGTGCCAGTTTGGGGTGACCCTGAGACCCACAGGCAGGGACAGCACTAAGGGAGCGTGTCCCTCCAGTCCCAGGCTCCCAGCTGACCAGGAAAGCAGGGAGCCGGAGCTGCAGGGGTTCTGGGGAGGGCCCTGCTCTGAGCTCCCCGCCACTGTGATCCAGATGGCCTGAAGGTGCAGCCAGCACCCAGGGTGGGACCCTCGGGAGTGGGTGCGTGGGAGAAGAACCGGGAAGCAGCTCCAGCCACTGACGCTGGCAGAACCGCACTCTGCCCTGTGGCCTGCACCCCTCAGGAGGCAAAGCGGAGCAAGTGGGCGGTGGGAAGGACCCCAGGAGGATTTCCGTGCCCCTCCGCCACCGGGCTATGGCAGCGACTTGCAGACACAGCTGCCCTGGTGAGCAGCTTGTCAGGGGCCAGAAGGCGGTGGCAGGACACCCTGGGGGCAGGACACCCTTGGGGCAAGACAGCCAGGGGCAGGACACCCTGGGGCAGGCCAGGGGGCACGGGTGAGGAGCCTGGAGCCCCAGGCCAGCCAGCGAAAGCCCCCCACACTGCCAGTCAGCCCAAGTGGCATGATACTATCACAGCCCAGGGCTGGCCCCAGCCAGGTTCACCCTGGGAACAAACTCAGAGGGTGCCCAGGAGCGAAACCAGAACGACACGCCACCCTTCCTCGGACCTCCACTATGCCCCGCGTGCCAGCCTACTGGGAAAGAGCAGGTTGAGGCTGTGGGCAGTGCCCGCCTGGAGCCCCTGTGAGAGGCCTGAGCATAGGCTAAGGGTGGAAATCCTCGGGGACCGCAGGGAACAGCTAAGAGGGGAGCCGCTCCCTGGGGCCCTGAGGGACACTGAGTGCCAAAGCCTTGACTCTGTCACCATGTGGCGTCACAGAGCAAGGCCCCAACTCCAAGGGGGCAGGGGGAGGTGCTCGAGCTCAGGGAGGGGCGGCCTCTTTGGCCCCCCAGACACAGACGGGAGGCCGTTCCGGGAGGAGGGGCTTTCAGAGCTGGGAACGGCGCACGTGGGGAGTCGGTTCCTGCAGATGCGGAGCCTGAGCGGAGGAGGGGTTCCTGCAGCCTTGCAGTTCCACACCCACTGGCAACTGGGTCCCGGGCCCCGGGGGGTGGGGAAAGGGATGAGTCCACACCCCCCATCCCCACCATATCGCACATGCTGGGGCCCGAGATGACCTTAGCAAGCTGCCCTGTGAAACCAGACCCTGGACCCAGGGAGCTTGGGTTCCATTGCTGGTGTCAGAACAAGGCGGAAGTTCGGTTCCCCACCTGTCTGCTGGGGGCAGGGCGCTTGCCGGTAGCTGGCAGCAGAGAAAGAATTGGGAATCCAAAGCATGTTATTTAGCAAAGCAATGTGTGGACGACCTTGAGGCCCTGAGCACACTTGGTATTCTGTTCCCAGGTTTCCAAGGCTACAGAGTGACAATGATTATCTGAAGGACAGCCTGAAAGCACTCCACGCTCGTTTGTAATCTCATCCAGTTTCAGCTCTGGCTCTTGGTGCAGGCCAGCATGTCTGAAATATGAGCACGGTCTCTTTTCCTCATCGTTAGAAAGCGAGCACAGAGTGGCTTTCCCTGAAAGCTGTCCCTGAAGTGGCTGGGACAGAAGCCCCTTGGCAGTGACCCTCCCGCAGGGCCTCTGCTCCTCCTCCCCCTGGAGGCGGTGGGTAGACAGTGCGGTCCAGACCATGACGGAGAGCAGCCCGCTGCCTAGTATGGACACCCTGGGGGTTAATGGGGATGCCCGCAAACGCTTTCAGGCATGGCCCTGTTTCGTGTCGGAAGATCTCTAGCCAGGCTTTGGTCAAAGGAGGCTGCCATCTGCTGGCTGCCCCGTTCAACTTTGCCTAGCAATTGCAGTTCCTAGGTGATGAGTACCTTCCAGGCAGACGCTCGAGCTCGTGAAGCCTAGAAACAAGGTGTGCACACCCATCTTTGTATTAGGTTGATAAAAAGAAAATAGCACCGCGGCCCGGAGGAAGGGACGTGGCTCAGTTTCAGCTGAGGGCTGCCTGGAGGAAGAAGCCAGCACAGAGAGACTTGCAGTTGGCCGCTCCTCCCTGCTCTTGGCCAGGGCGGATTTCCACTTCCACACAGTCAGAGCAGGTGCTACTCCAAGCCTGTTGCTCAGAGGTCGCTCCGGGCAGTGCTCAGGTGTACAGTGCCAGAGGATTGAACCAGGAGTCTTGCATGCAAAGCTGCTGCCAGGCCCTGAGCGGTCGCCTGGCCCTAGAGACATTGTGTCACCATCCCCATTAAAGTCAGAAAGCGTTTGTCCTGGAGAGGCACACGCCATTCCTAACATCCTGTCTGAACAAGAAAATGCTTTCTGAGCTGGAGACGGCTCTAGTGGAGGAAGCTCTGGAGGGGCAATTAAAGCCAGGGGGCCGCTGGGCCTTGGTCATTACCGCTACTAAGGTGGTCATAACCGCAGGGCCCCAATGATATGTGGGCTCCGGAGTCTTCCACCGCCCCAAACGACAGGGTGGTTTGGAGGCAGGCAGGTAGGTAGGAGAGAGCCCATGGCAAGGAATTTCTGAGAAGTAATAAACCCAATAATCCTGAAGCTGCAAGAATAAAGGCCTAGGCCTGATAAGATCTTCCTGGCACCAGCCACAGACCCTGGGCAGGCTGGACCCCACAGAGACACAAACTTCACAACTAAGGACCCGAAGGAGATTTATGACACCTGCATGACCCCAGCTCTGCCAGAGAAACTCCAGACCAAAGCAACCTCCTTGGTTACCACCCTAGCGACAAACTCTTACCTAGCTAGAAAGCCTCGTGGGGGCAGGTTGGGGAAACCTTATAAAAGCCTCCTCGAACGAAGGAAGGGCGCACATGCTGCCCGAG